GTCTGTCTGTAATGTCCCTGATCCCATAAAACAACAAAAACACAACAGGGACGGATCCCAATTCTGTGAGGAAAAGGTAAAAATTAAAGTCGAATACATTCCTGGGGAAAAGAGCAGAGCCCACCTCATTGTTTGTTTAATCTACTATATGATGCAGAGTATAGATCCAAAGTGCTATCCATCCATCCAGGTCACCCTGGTCCAATCAATCCATCTTTATGCGACGCAAGAAAACACTGATGCTCTTTTTTCCGATATTTTATTGAATTCCAATGTTCGGTATAAGATTTATGGTATTTATTTATTTATTTAAGCGATTGAACAACTGCTCCCCCTATCATAAATACTGCCGGATTTATTGGGATATGCCGTTGCTTTACTGTAAAACCGTATGGATCTTTTTTTATTTTTAAGCTGAGAGGTGAGCGGACTTGAAGCTTCAGGATTTATTTTTTAATGAGAACTCACCAATTATTCTCTCCAGCTGAAGCCAAGTGCAAAATAGCAACTCATGGTGGGGGGACTCAAGCCCCTTCTACAATACCATATAATCCAGGTTATCAAAGCAGATTATCCACATGATCTGCTTTGAACTGGATTATATGAGTCCCTACACTGTCATATAATCCAGTTCAAGGCCGATAGTCTGGATTTTATATGGCAGTGTAGAAGGGGCCTCAATGGAACACTGAATCCAACCTAGGTTTTAATTCAGTCTGTAGAAGAGCTATTGATATTGGTAGACCTTCCTTTGATTGTTTAGTGATTGTCTAGGATTTTGAGTGTCATCCAACCCTTTTAGCTCCAGGCTGAGGAAGATATGGCCCTCCATTCTTGCAAGAGTGAACCTCCTTTGTTGTTTGTTTGTGTGTGCCCTCAAATCATTTCCAGTGTATGGTGACACCAAGGCACACCTATCATGGGGTTTTTCTCAGTGTGACGTGTTCAAAAGGGGTTTGCCTTTGCTTTCCTCTCAGGCTGTTCAAGGTCACCCAATGGGATTTCCATGGCCGAGTGAAGATTTGAACCCTGGTTGTTGTAGTTGTGGTCCAGTGCTCAAATCACTATGCCATGCTAGCTCTCTATAGATCCCACTGTCCTTCATTATTAACTGGGTAGAAGGATCGATTGGGAAAAGTACTTTTATGGACTATAACTCTCAGCATCCTTCATCACCAATTACTACTGGCCTTTGTGTTGTCGAAGGCTTTCATGGCTGGAATCACAGGTTTGCTGTGAGTTTTCCAGGCTGTATGGTCATGCTCCAGAAGCATTTTCTCCTGACTTTTCACCCACATCTATGGTAGGCATCCTCAGAGGTTGCGAGGTTTATTGGAAACTAGGCAAGTGGGGTTTATATATCTGTTGAATGTCCAGGGTGAGAAAAAGAACTCTTGTCTGTTTGAGGCAAGTGTGAATGTTGCAATTGACCACCTTGATTAGCGTTGAATAGCCTGGCAGCTTCAAAGCCTGGCTGCTTCCTGCCTGGGAGGATCATAGAATCAAAGAGTTGGAAGAGACCTCATGAGCCATCCAGTCCAACCCCCTGCCAAGAAGCAGGACTGTCGCATTCAAATCACCCCCGACAGATGGCCATCCAGCCTCTGTTTAAAAGCTTCTAAAGAAGGAGCCTCTACCACACTGCAGGGCAGGGAGTTCCACTGCTGAACGGCTCTCACAGTCAGGAAGTTCTTCCTCATGTTCAGATGGAATCTCCTTTCTTGTAGTTTGAAGCCATTGTTCCTTTGTTGGGAAGTGTTAGCTGGACCCGATTGTTTCCTGCCTGGAATTCTCCTGTTTTCTTAATGTTGTTCTTTAGGATAGTAAATAGAGAACAACAGGACAGTAAATAAAGGGCATTTATTTATTCACTCAGGACAGTAAATAAAGAACAGCACTCAGAAAACAGGAGAATTCCAGACAGGAAACTATCAGGACCAGCTAACACCTCCCAACCAAGGATTTCCCCAGACGGGAAGCAGCCACGCTTTGAAGCTGCAGGGCCATTCAATGCTAATTGCAACATTCACACTCCCCTCAAGCAGACAAGAGTTCTTTCTCCCACCCTGGACATTGCCTAGTTTCCAAGAGACCTCACAACCTCTGTGGATGCCTGCCATAGATGTGGGCGAAACATCAGGAGAGAATGCTTCTAGAACATGGCCTCATACAGTCCAAAAAACTCACATCAACCCCCTACTGGTCTTGCTGGGTAGAAGGTACATTATAGACCAAACATGTAATTTTTCTGAGCTTGGATTAATGGGGGCTGTAGTCCTAAATATCTGGAGAGCCACAGCACTTTTTCTGGCCATAATGATCAGAAATTAGACCTTTGGAACACAATATATCAACAGAAAACTACCAATACCTGTCCTATGGCTATCTGAAGACACTGCTACCTTGCCTGACAATACTCCCACTCTGCCCAGTACTGTCTACCCTGGCATTACAAATAGAAAGCTCGTTATTTCTTTAGCACTTACATTTGCATGTGAAAAACTGGTTCGTGCTGAGATCAGCAGGTGGCTTTGACAACCAGTATGATGTCTAGTCAACACGAATAGACCATAAATACAACTTTCGCTTACATAAAAGTATGGCAAGGTCAAAGGCATCAAACTGCAGTTTGGAACTCACAGCTGGGTCTTTTTCTCGTACACAGAGAGCCAACAAAATACTTAAAACATGATATTTTGAAAGTAGGAATCCAAGTTTGATATCAACATGGGCTTCCAGTTTCCCCCAACCTCAGTGATTCTCAACCTGTGGGTCCCCGGATGTTTTGGCCTTCAACTCCCAAAAATCCGAACAGCTGGTAAACTAGATGGGATTTCTGGAAGTTGTAGGCCAAAACACCTGGGGACCCACAGGTTGAGAACCACTGCCCTACCTTTTCAGGACTCTGGTACTGAAAATCTGCCCAGTGCAGTTACAGCAACATCTGCTGGTAGAAAGCTAAAAATGCATCAAAGCTCTCTCCAGTTTTATTTGTTAACTCCAATGAAGCAAAAATAGAAAAACTGCACTAACTGTGCCTACAGTCCTGTGACTAAGTGCAAAAGCCTTGTCAATGATAATTTAGTGACACAATTATTGTGTTGTTGAAAGCTTTCATGGCCAGAATAACTGGGTTGCTGTGGGTTTTCCAGGCTGTATTGCCATGTTCCAGAAGCATTATCTCCTGACATTTCGCCCACTTCTATGGCAGGCATCCTCAGAGATTGAGAGGTCTGTTGGAAACTAGGCAAATTGGGATTATATATCTGTGGAATGTCCAGGGTGGGAGAAAGAACTCTTATCTACTTGAGGCAGGTGTGAATGTTGCAGCTGGAATATGTCCAGAGGAGGGCGACTAAAATGATGGAAAACAAGCCCTATGAGGAGCAGCTTAAAGAGCTGGGCATGTTTAGCCTGAAGAATAAAAAGGCTGAGAGGAGACCTGATAGCCATGTATAAATATGTGAGAGGAAGCCACAGGGAGGAGGGAGCAAGCTTGTTTTCTGCTTCCTTGGAGACTAGGACGCGGAACAATGGCTTCAAACTACAAGAAGGAGATTCCATCTGAACATTAGGAAGAACTTCCTGACTGTGAGAGCCATTCAGCAGTGGAACTCTCTGCCCCGGAGTGTGGTGGAGGCTCCTTCTTTTGGAAGCTTTTAAACAGAGGCTGGATGGTCATCTATCAGGAGTGGTTTGAATCCAGGCCCGTAGCCAGGATTTCGTTTTGGGGGGGGGGGGGTGAATTTTTTTCAGGGGGGTTCGGGGGGGCTGAGTTTTGGGGGGCTGAGTCTGAGTGAAAGAGGGTCTAGCCTAGCAAACCTTTTGTATCATTACCCCAATACCCCCATGCATATGGGATATATTGAGTATGGTGATCAGATCATGATATGAATAAACATAACAGTTTAAATAATGCACCAGTAAGGCCTTTTCGCGAACCACCATGAGAATTTCGGGGGGGGCTGAAGCCCCTCAAGCCCCCCCCCAGCTACATGCCTGCCCCCTACCTAAGCATCTCTAAAATCTCATGTGTGAGTGTGTATGTATGTGAAATGTCCAGGCTGGGAAAAGAACTCTTGTCTGTTTGAGGCAAGTGTAAATCTTGAAATTGGCCACCTTGATTAGCATTGAATTGAATGGCCTTAAAGCTTCAAAGCCTGGCTGCTTCCTGCCTGGGGGAATTCTTTGTTGGGAGGTGTTAGCTGGCCCTGATTGATTCTTGTCTGGAATCTTGTTCTTTCTCCCATCCTGGACATTCCACAAATATATAAACATCTTTTGCCTAGTTTCCAACAGGCCTCACAACCTCTGAGGATGTGGGAGAAATGTCCGGAGAGAATGCTTCTGGAACATGGCCATAGAGCCCGAAAAACCCACAGCAATGCAATAGTTTCAGTTTTCAAAAAGCAGATAAAAATGACCCCTTTCATCCTCTTTCCAGAATTACAAATAAAATCTATTAAAAAGTCCCTCCAAAGCATAACAAAACTAATGTGAAATAGTAGTAAGTTGCTCAGCCCATCGATGGACATCACATTGAATAACACTTCAAGCTGCTGACAAAGATTTAGCAAAGGAGAGGTACCAAATTCATCTTTTAAAGAAAATACTGCCATGTTCTGGTTCAGATCTCTGGCAAAATTAGGCTTTCCCCCCTCTGGCAGTTCTCTGGGAAGAAGCAAAATAGGGCAAAAATAATAGCGAGCAAAGGGGATGACTATTCTGACTTTGTCTTTGGCCCCTAACAGTTTAAAACAGAACTTGGGATAGGTCATGTTTTGAACTATGACTCCCAGAATCTCCTGTTGCTTGGGGCTCTGGGAGCTAAAATCTCTAATGTAGCCTTTTGCAGCATCTTTATATTCTCATGCAGACTTCAGTAAGGGTGGGTCTTCCCTATATCAGGGGCCCATGCACAGTATTGATTGCACCGTATCCCAGCCTTCCTCCAAGGGCACCACACAGCAGGCTTCCACTACTTTAGCCTCATAACAACCTTGCGAGGTAGGTTATTTATTCATTTATATTTATTTGATGGGTATCCCACTTTTCTCCCAAATGGGACTCAAGGTTAGGCTGAGAAGCAGCAATATGGTCCACTGGTGAGACCTGAACCAAGATCCAAACCTAACACTTTGTATTATTTACACCACATCATGGATAGTTGATGGCTCCTCGCTACTCCAAAGGTGCAATCAACTCACATAAAGAGGAATAGATAGAATGGGAACCCTCCCCCACAACACCAATTAAACCCACTTCTGAAGGAGAGGGGTTTCATGCAGGAACATCTCCCATTTTCGTATTTTGATAGCCCTGTACAATTGACTCTCCACATTAACTGGGGTTAGGAGTGCAGGATCCTGCAAAAGTGGGAAAAACATGAATATCTTTTGTATCCCCCATCCGACAATATTTAACACACAGAGAAAAAAGTACAACCTACACTGTGGATGCCTTCAAGGCAACAGGGTTCCTTCACAAAGCAGAAGAAGATGGAGCTTTCTGCTGCCTTGCACCATTTTTAATAGGGACTTAAGAGCCTTGCTGCATATTTGCGAGGCTTGCAATCCCTGTTAAAAATGGCATAGAGCAGCAGTGGTAGTGGAAGCAAATCATCAATGAATAATCAAATCTGCAAAAGTTAAACCCACAAATGTGGAGAGCCAATTATTTTTCCATGGACAAAGACAGCACCCTCTTGGTAATTGTAATATTTTCCCCAGTTTCACAAAGGTTATGGGATTGCACAGACATACACTCACTCACACACAGAGAACATCTTTAAATAAGAGGAACGTGGAGAATAAATACTGTACATAGAAGCCCATCTCCCAAAGGAAGGGGGAACGTAGATAAATATGTCTCCTGCTATACAGATAAAACCATCTCGGGAGGATAGGGAAGGGAAGGGCGGGGCAGGAAGAGTCACAGGCCGCGGCCCAAGCAACCAGGTAATGATGATGCAAATTATCCTCTTGACTCCAGGGATCTATGGAAATGAGAGAGAAAGAGAAAGGAAAGACCAACTGTGAGAACAATGAGCACTAAGAAAAATCCCCCTCAATTTCAAATGGAAATAGAGAGTGTTGGGTTGTCAATTTTCATTATTATGGGTGTGTTGTTGTTATGTTCAGGCATTGAATGTTTGCCTTTTATGTTTGGAATTTGCCCTGAATCCCTTCGGGGAGATAGTGTGGAATATAAATAAATAAATAAATAAATAAATATTATTATTATTTGAAACACAACAAGATGAGTCCACAGCAAACAGATCACTCTTTTGCCTATTGCATTGGATCATATGTCAGACACTTCCCAAGTGTCTAGCATTGTGTGATGTATCAGTGAATAATGCGTGCAGATCACAGTAAAGTGGCCTTTTGCGGCTGGCAGATGGTAATTTTGTCAGCGCCAATTGTGTTTAAGTGCAGGCCAAGGTCTTTAGGCACTGCACCCAGTGTGCCGATCACCACTGGGATTATTATGGTACTTGAACCAATGTTTTTGAGAGGTTCTGAAATACAGTTTCCAGATCCTCCCAGAGGCCATGCTGCATGGGAAAATCTGTAAGCCATAGTTCTTAAAAGCCGTGTTTTCAAAGCTCTGGTCTAGACTTCTATGGAACAATGAAGGTAAGGTGGATTCTTGCTCCAACAAACCTTAATAGCTACTGAACTGAATCAAGCTCAGCATTCAATTTTGAACAGAAAGCTCTAAGTCGGTGTTTCTCAATCTTGGGGTTGGGACCCCTGGGAGGGACACAAGGGGGTGTCAAAGGGATCACCAAAGACCATCAGAAAACACAGTATTTTCTGTTGGCCATGGGGGATCTGTTTGGGAAGTTTGGCCCAATTCTATCATTGGTGAGGTTCAGAATGCTCTTTGATTGTAGGTGAACTATCAATCCCAGCAGCAACAACTCCCAAATGTCAAAGCCTATTTTCCCCAAACTCCACAAGTGTTCACATTCAGGTATATTGAGTATTCGTGTCAAGTTTGATCCAGATCCATCACTGTTTGAGTCCACAATGCTCTCTGGAGTTAGGTGAACTACAACTCCAAGACTCAAGGTCCCACCAAAGCTTCTAATATTTTCTGTTGGCCATGGGAGTTCTGTTGGTGGAGTTTAGAATGCTCTTTGATTGTAGGTGAACTATAAATTCCAGCAACTACAACTCCCAAATAAAAAATCAACCCCCCCCCCCCCAAACTCGTCCAACCACACCAATATTCAGATTTGGGCGTATTGGGGATTTGTGCCAAATTTGGTCCAGTGAATGAAAATACATCCTGCATATCAGATATTTACATTATGATTCATAACAGTAGCAAAATTACAGTTATGAAGTAGCAATGGAAATAATTTTATGGTTGGGAGTCACCACAACATGAGGAACTACATTTAGGGGCCATGGCATTGGGAATGTTGAGAACCACTGCTCTAGGCCAAAGCTTTCCAAACTGTGTCAGTTGCAGTGTGTAGTTGTGTAATGCAAACATAACACAAGACTTCAGTCTATGTGAAATAAGCAAAAAAATCATATATTTAAAGAATATAAAGGAAAGATATTCTTAAGATATGTGATGTCCCTATACATTTCATTTTTACAATTTATGTATGGATCTATGGAGTTGGTTTAACCTCTGGTTTGCTAGTAAAACTGAATTACTGTGTTGCAAAATGATGCGTGTCATCAACATGAAACATTTGGAAAGCTGTGCTCCAAACATTCAAAAATCAAGCTCCAAGCTGCTGTGTACAGTCTCCATCCCCAGAGCCAGCACTATTCCCTTTTCAAGAATTGCTGGTTTCAAATGCATGGAAACCATCATATTTCCGAGAACTACCAGCTCTTTCTATCTTCTTCGAAAGGTTATAATGACACCCGCCCCTTCCCATGCCTGGAAAACCGCCTTCCACAGTTTTCTCTTACGAGTAGCTGTTGTGTTGCTGCCGGCGTCGAGCTGTCCGCATCTTCTCAAAGCGTGCCTCCATCTCTTCCAGTACTTTAGGTGTGTAGCGCACCACCAGTTTCACGGTCCCTTGTGCGGCTTTCAGAAGCTCCACTGCCCGTTCGTGTTGCTCTCCCTCCACACTCTGCAAAAGAAAAGAGAGAAATTGTCACAATGGAAACACAGTATCTGCTGCAAACACCATAGCTCTTTCCTACATTGCAATCATCACTGCTGTGTTCTCTCGAGAAATCACTAGGTTCTCCAGCATAGTCATTTTTTATTGTGTCAGAAGCAAATTGAGAATATACTGCAAGTTGCTTCTCGTGTGAGAGAGTTGGCTGTCTACAGAGATGTTGCCCAGGGGACGCCCAGATGTGTTACCATCCTGTGGGAGGCTTCGCTCATGTCTCCACATGGGAAACTGGGGCTGACAGGTGGGAGCTCACCCTGTCTTGTGGATTCAAACCGCCAACCTTCAGGTCATCAGTTCAGCCAGCACAAGGGTTTAATCCATTGCACCACCGCAGCTCCTTGCATAAAGTCACAATGGAGGACCTATTGATTCCTCAAGATAATAAATCCACGAATACTCAAATCCACAAAAGTTAAAACTGCAAAGGTGGAGGGATGACTGTTCACCCATCACAAAGCACCCCAAGGTTCCTCGCCCCACTCAGTACCCACCACGCCATTGACGGACAGCAATTGGTCTCCACGCTTGAGTCCACCGTGACGGTCAGCTACACCTCCAGGAATGATGCGGGAAATGTAGATGGGAGAGTTTTGTTCCTTGCCCCCCATAATGTTGAAGCCCAGGCCTTCGTCCGTCTTGGGAAGCTCTACCACCCGAGGGTGTGCATGTCCCTCGCTTGCTGCAAAAGCAGCCACGGTTGCCTGGATGGAGAAAGACAAAAGTGGTGGGTGTGTTCTAAGCCAACTTTTCTCACATTCATGGTAAACAAGCTTGCTTTTAATATCAACACTATAGAAAACGGCTATATTTACAGTACTCTGTGTATCAATTTCTACAATTCTCCTTTCACTTTATTTTAATTTTATTACTTGTTTGTTATAAATATTATTGTACAGCCAATCCTTCAAAAAATCATCCAGGCATCCCCTGGGCAACGTCCTTGCAGACGGCCAATTCTCTCACACCAGAAGTTACTTGCAGATTCCCAAGTCTCTCCTGACACGACAAAAAAAAGCCAATCCTTTTAGGATTCAATGTCAAGATTTTAAGATTTACATTTTGTGTACTATTAGCACAAAGCAAACAAGATCACTATGCTTGCTTTTATATTGTATCACACGTCTAGGACTGTGTGATGTATCAGCAAATAATGCATGCAGATTCAAGTAGGGTGGCCTTTTGCAGCTGACAGATGGTAATTTGGTCAGCACTGATTGTTTTGTGTGCAGGCCAAGGTCTTTAGGCACTGCACCCAGACGGCATTATTATTATTATTATTATTATTATTATTATTATTATTATTATTATTATTTGTTATTGCTGCTGCGGTTGTTGTTGTTGTTTTTATTCTTCTGTTACCTTAGCTGTGGCATGTGCTCGAATTTCTGGACTCCCTGAGATATCCAGTGTGTCGTACAGCTGCTCATAGACCTACCCAAAAAAGATACAAGAGTGGTCAGGATCCATACACAACATCACAGGAAACATAGGTTACAAATGTATTTGAAGGTAAATGGGAGGGGGGTGTTAATAGACTTAACAGGAAATAAAAGGGGGTACATGGGCCACAGATAGGAAGCAGTGATCACAGAATATATGGGTCGGGTTTTAGCACAGCTGGTAAATCACCAGCAATGATAAGATCTACAAACCGAAAGGTTCCCAATTCAAAGCCCTGGGTCAGTGTGAGCTACCAGCTGTCAAGCACAACTTACTGTTGACCTAAGCAGCTCAAAAACAGCTTGTGCTGTAATTGGAGAAATTAGGTACTCCTAAAACAAGCAAGGGAGTTATTTTACGACATCATAAAGAAAAAAGATCAGAACATTCTGGGTAACCAAAAGTAAGAAGGAAGTCCTGATGGCTCTTTGTCATAGAGGATGGCGCGACAGCACCCCCCTGTGGCTGGATTTGAGTGCAACCTTCCAAGGCACCAAAAAGCTGGACGTTGACACAACATACCTCCTTCTATTCTGTCTGTGTCTGTGTCAGTATTGTCTATCCAAAATTGCATTGAATGTTTGCCATGTATGTGTACTGTGATTCACCCTGAGTCCCCTTGGGGACATAGGGCGGAATATAAATAAAGTATTATTTTATGGAAGAGATGAACCAAATTCTTAACTGATCCCAAACCCTTCTATGTTGGAAGTAGAAGAGTAAATAGTGTTGCCTTTCTGTCTACTTTCATCATGGTAAACAAAACACCAAAGCAAGGCAAGTTAGTCGAGGCACATCATGGGAAATCCCATAAGCATCCCTTGCCAGGCAGTAGAAGCACTATAACAACAAGATAACAACAATGGATAGGAGCTTCCATGTCAGTGGGCTGGTGGCTCCATTCCAGGTTTTACTCACATTGTATTTTTATTTTATTTTAGAATAACTATCCAAGATACTGAAGCCTAAGCTCTACATAAGTTCAGGACCTTGGACAGCTCATCTAAAGTCCCTTCTAAAACAGGTATGGGCAAACTCTGGGTGCATCTACACCAGGCTTGAGCAAATTTGGGCCCTCCAGGTGTTTTGGACTTCAACTCCCAGAATTCCTAACAGACTCAGGCCCTTTCCTTTTCCTCCTCAACCACTTAAGCAGAAAGGACAGGGCCTGAGGCTGTTAGGAATTGTGGGAATTGAAGTCCAAAACACCTGGAGGGCCCAAGTTTGCTTATTCCTGATATACACTGTGAATATAATGGCAGTTGGACACCATTTTAACTGCCATGATTCAATGCTATGGAATCCTGGAATAGGTAGTTTGATGGGGTGCCAGCACTTTTGGCAGAGAAGGCTAAAGGCCTTTTAAAAACTACAGCTCCCATGTTTCCATAGCTTTGAGACATGGCTGTTAAAGTTGTGTTAGAGCCGTAGCAAACTACTGGAAGCGAGAGCGAGCTTGTGCTCGAGCTTGCTCCGAAGCCCCGCCTTTTTTTCCCCGAGGCTGTTCTCTCTCTTGCTAGTGTGCCTGTTTTCCCTTGCTAGGGAAGCGATGCGAGTGTACTCTCGCAGTTGACAGAATTCAACTGTGAGCGTACGCTCGCATCCCTGCCCTCTGCAATGGAAAACAGGCACACTAGCAAGAGAGAGAGCAGCCTCGGGGGGGGTGGGGGGAGGCGGGGCTTCGGAGCAAGCCCGAGCGCAAGCTTCCTGTAGTTTGCTGCGGCACGAGCGTTTGCTCGCAACGCTGCCCTAGCAAAAGGAAATAGGCGGAGAAAGAGGCGGAGCATCGCTCGTGCTGGCTTAGTTTACTCTCTCAAAATCCTAGTTTGCTACGGCTCTTAGACTGCGTTCATTCCACAATATAGATGTAGTGACCAATGGGAAGGGAATACCACAAATATCAGTGGTCCAGGTGTCTTCCTTTCTGTACTGCTATAAATGTGGAAACTGGAGGGAAATTTCATTTGGAGGGGGGCAGTGCTATTGAGAGATTAATGCATTCTTTTTGTCTCTTCTGCCCCAAACCTTGCTAGCGAAACCTCTGGGCTGAAGGCATCTTTCTCACCTCCCTTATGGCGGAGCAGAATTTGCTCTGTAGTACTCTCTGAAGAGCTTGCAGTTTCTGGGGGGGAACCTCTCCGCTCCGCTGCAGCCGTTCCAGCAGCTCAACCGCCCGGGCCACATCTGTGAGGAAGAAGATGAAGAAGAGAAGGAGGAAGATAGAAGGCAGCAGGTAGAGAGAACAGCTTTGGAGAAATCAAGAGAGAAGAAGAGGCAAATGTAATGTTGAAGGCTTTCATGGCCCAAATCACTAGGTTGCTGTGAGTTTTTCAGGCTGTACAGCCATATTCCAGAAGCATTCTCTCCTGATGTTTTGCCCACATCTATGGTAGGCATTCTCAGAGGTTGAGGGGTCTGTGGAAACTAGGCAAGGGAGGTTTATATATCTATGGAATGTCCAGGGTGGAGGCAAATGCTTCTGTTGGCGTCTCCAACCTCCTCATTTTCCTCCCTCATCTCCATTCTAGAACAGGAATAATGAAGACAGGCAAGAGATCAGAGTAGGAAAGATTGAAGGCCAAATTGTGAAGAAGGGGAGAAGGAAGGAGGAGGAGGAGGCAGGAGATAGAGCAGCTTTGGAGAATCCAAGAGAGAAGAGTTGAATGTTTTACTCCAGCTTTTCTCAACCTGGGGGTTGAGACCCCTGGGGGTGGGAAGGGGTGTCAGAGGGGTTGTCAAAGACCATCAGAAAACACAGTTCATCTAGGAAAGAAATAAGGAGAGTAGAAAATCAACAAAATCTGGCTATCAGTATTTACTGGCTACCAGTAAACTCCAAAAAAAATAACAGTAAATAAAGAACAACACTCAAAAACAGGGAAATTCAGACAAAAAATCAGGGCCAGCTAACCACCTCTCAACAAAGGATTCCCCAGGAAGTCTGAAGCCATCCCTTGAAACTGCTAGGCCATAAAATGCTAATCAAGGTTGTCAATTGCAACATTCACACCTGTCTAAAGCAGACAGGCTGGATGGCCATCTGTTTGGGATGTTTTGAATGCAATTTTCCTGCTTTTTGGCAGGGGTTTCAACTGGATGGCCCAGGAGGTCATGTACTGGGTTGGATATTCAGGTGTGAATGTTGCAATTGCTCACCTTGGTTATTTATTTATTTGTTTGTTTATGACATTTATATGCCGCCCTTCTCACCCTGAAGGGGACTCAGAGCAGCTTACAAGATATATATACATACAATATATTATGTTATGTTATTAGCATAGTACAATATCAGCAGGCATGTAGCCGGGGGGGGGGGGGGGGGTTTGGGGGCTTCAGGCCCCCCCGAAATTCTCATGGTGGTCTGCAAAAAGGCCTTACTGTTACATTATTTAAACTGTTATGTTTATTCATATCATGATCTGATCACCATGCTCAATATATCTCATATGCATGGGGGTATTGGGGTAACGATACAAAAGGTTTGCTAGGGTAGACCCTCTTTCACTCAGACTCAGCCCCCCCCCCCGAATCAAAATCCTGGCTACGGGCCTGATCAGAAGATGAATGTACTAAACCATTATATTGTAATATTATTAGTAATATGTTAGAATCAAATGGCCTTGCAGCTTCAAAGCCTGGCTGCTTCCTGCCTTGGGGGAATCCTTTGTTGGTAGGTGGGAGCCCAATTGAAATATTCACACTCGCCTCCAATAGACAAGAGTCCTTTCTCCCACCTTGGACATTATTCCACTGATATATAAACCCCATTTTCCTAGTTTCCAACAAACCTCACAACCTCTGAGGATGCCTGCCAGAGATGCAGGTGAAACGTCAGGAGAAAATGCTTCTGGAACATGGTCATATAGCCTGGAAAATACATAACAACCCAGGGCCATATATCCCAGACTATCAAGGCAGAAAATCCCACAATATTTTCTTTGAAGTGGGTTATCTGAGTCCACACTCAGATAATGTGGGATTTCCTGCCCTGATATTCTGGGATATAGGGCTGTGTGGAAGGGCCCATAGAGTAGAAAAGATTGAAGGAAGGAGAAGGAAGAAGAGAGTAGATAGGACACAGCTTGGGAGAATGCTCCACTTGGTCTCCCCCTCCTTCCCCAATTCCCTTCTGTTTGTCCAATTCCAGAGCAGGGAGGAATCAGAGCAGAAAATGTTTGCGTCTCATTGAAGAGAGGGAAGCGGGGGGTAAATGAATCTAGATGATGATCATGGAGAAGATGGGGATGAGAATGAGAAGAGATCCCTCTTGTCGTGCTGGTGGTGGTGGCCCTCACCTTTCCCGGGCGCCGCTCCGATCCCGGTAGCCATGGCTAGGAAAGCAAGGCGCCTGCTTCCACCTCCATCTTTTGCAGGGAAGGGGACCCAATCGCTGGCTTTCCTTGCGTCTTGCCAGGCGAGGGGATGGCTCTGAGCTCATCTCTCCCTCCTTCCCTCCCTCCCCGTAGCAGGGGGGGTGCCTCTTCCTCCGCCTCCGATGCGTCTCGACCCCGATTCGCCTTATCCCTCCTCCTTTTCCTCCTCCTCCTCCAGCTATGGGGCAGTCCAGGTGCCTCCCAACCGCTCTTAGGAGCATCTTTGGTCCATTGCGCCTGCTTTTCCTTCCTCCCCTCCCTCCCAGCCACCTGAGAAGGCGGCTATAGGGCGTCTTCCCCTCTCTCTGCCCCCGACTTACCCCTCTCCAGCCCTAGAGGCTCTGCCAGAGCTGCCATCTTCGCGGCCAAGCCCCACCGCCGCCGCCTCTCTCACGTCAAAGGCGAAGGGAAAGGAAGACGCCCGCCTCCCGGATTTGCAACCTGACGCGCGTCCCTCCCTCCTTTCTTCCCTCCCTCCCTCCTTCCTGCCCTCCTTTTCTTGGGCTGCTGCTCTGAAGGCCTGTGGCCAGCTGGGCACGTGCCTCAGGTGCCCTCCTTGCCCGGTCTAGGGAAGACTCTGCCCTATCCTGGCAAAACTCAAGTGTGTGCTTGGGATCCCTGTTGATGATTAGGAAACAACTTGTGGTCCCCTCTTCCAACCATGCCATTCTGGATTGCTTAAGTTCTCAAATCCATCTCTTATGGCTCTAGGCCAGGCAAGGGCAAACATGGGGATTCCTCCAGGTGTTTTGGACTCCAACTCCCACCATAACTAACAGCCCCAGCCCCCTTTCTTTTCCCCCATAGCCACTTAAGCCTGAGACTGTTAGAAATGGTGGAAGGTGGATCCCAAAATACCTGGAGGAAGGCCCAAGTTTTCCCATGCCTGATCTACACTGTCAACATAATGGCAGTTAGACACTGCTATGGCTCAATGCTATGGAATTCCAGGATATATAGTTTGATGAGGTGCTAGCACTTTTTGGCACAGAAGGCTGAAGACCTTAAAAAACTATAGCTCCCATGTTTCCATAGTTTTGAGCAGAGGTCCCCAAACTTTTTAAACAGTGGCCAGGTTGTTAACTGGTGCTCCTTACACTAGTTAACTCCTGTTTAAGGAGCTCCATTGACTGCCATTCATTTTCCGGACCCAATTCAAGGTGCAGGTTCTTACCTACAAAGCCCTGAACGGTTTGGGACCTGCCTACCTGTGTGAAAGCATTTCTGTGTACGAACCCACACAATCTCTTCGATCATCTGGAGAGGCCCTACTCACGCTCCCACCTCCATGCGATTGGTGGGGACGAGGGAGAGGGCCTTCTCGGTGGTGGCCCCTCGACTCTGGAACTCACTTCCTAAGGACATCAGGCATGCCCCAACTCTGGCAGTCTTTAGGGGGAGCTTGAAAACAGCTATTCCAGTGTGCCGTCCCAGAATAATGAACCCTTAGCATTGTGTCCTCCAAAAGCACTTTATTTATTTATTTATTTATTTATTTGGGGTTCTTTTACCCCACCCTTCTCACCCCGAAGGGGACTCAGGGCGGCTTACAAAAGCAAGGCACAATTTGATGCCTGCATCATAAAAACAATCAAACACAAAATTACATCAATACACAGTTAACACCAAATATACATTATAACCATAAAATCAATAAAACCAAATACAAACCCAGTTTCTCCTCTTACATGGTCAGCGTTCGCTACTCATAGATCTAGTTTTACGTTCCACTTCATCAGTCCTGCTGGTCTTACTCGCCTGGTTGTCTGATTTAATTGCCGGAGTGCCCAAAGGCCTGGTCCCATAACCAAGTCTTCACCCTTCTCCTAAAGGTGAGGAGGGATGATGATGCCCTGATTTCCCCGGGGAGTGAGTTCCACTTTATACTGATTTAGGACTGCTTGTACGTTTCCACCAATGGCCCACCTCCTCTGTCTTGTTCATGCCCAGCATTATATTTTTAAAATTTCAATTACATTTGGCCTAGCCTTAGATTTTAAATGTGCATTGTACCTTGTTCATTGTTTATGCTATTTGTGTATGAGATTTATTTTAGGTTCTTGTGGGTTTTTTCGGGCTATAGGGCCATATTCTAGAGGCATTTCTCCTGACGCTTGTTCTAGAAGCATCTCCTTGCCATAGATGCTTGCCTGCATCTACGGCAAGCATCCTCAGAGGTAGTGAGGTCTGTTGGAATTAGGACAATGGGTTTATATATCTGTGAAATGGCTGGGGTGGGGCAAAGAGCTCTTCTCTGCTGGAGCTAGGTGTGAATGTTTCAACTGACCACCTTCATTAGCATTTGAAGGCCTGGCTGAGCCTGGGAAAATCTTTTGTTGAGAGGTGTTAAGCTGTGCCTGGTTGTTTCCTCTCTGCTGTTTTGCTGTTGTAATTTTAGAGTTTTTTAATACTGGTAGCCAGATTTTGTTCATTTTCATGGTCTCTTCCTTTCTGTTGAAATTGTCCACATGCGACTGAAAGCGACTGAACAAATAAACAGCAAATAACTAAGTAAGTTTTCGAAACCTCTTTCAATCAAAAGCCACAGAGAGAGTTTAGAGAGAGTTTGATCTGCAAGGCTGAACCTACGATGGAGTGGGAGGCTTCCAGTCATGCCAAAACATTGGCCTGTGTGGACGTTAGCCATGTTTGATTATAAAACAGTTTGCAATCTCTTCCAGCTCGATGATTCTATTCTATGAATCTCAAATCTGTCCATTCTGACTGACACTCAGGGAAAAGCCACAAAGAAAGGGAAATGGGTTGATCTTCAAGTTACACAACCTCCTGCTTGTATTAAGACTTATGGTGCAGAATAAATGGTTTGACTCGACCTTAATTGCCATTGCTTCACTCTATGGAATTCCAGGATTTGTAGTTTAGTGGGACACTAGCACTTTTTGGCAGGGAAGGCTACAGATCTTGTAAAACGACAACTCCTGTCATCATTCCGTAATATTGAGCCATGGCAGGTAATTTGGTGTCAAATCGTACACACTTAAGTTTGGGAGGGTTAAGACAACCCCAACCCTTCCCAAGGCAGGAAAATGTGTTTCCCTAAGGACTAGAGTTCCTTGGTGAAAGGTCCTGAAACAGAGGCACATAAGCAATAAATATCGTGGGGATTCTGGCCCCAGCTCTGGGTTTGGTTTCAAACTGTAAGAGGCTTGAAGGAACACATTAGACAGCTCACCTGGAGCCCATAGGACAGTGGTTCTAAACCTGTGAGTCCCCAGGTGTTTTGGCCTACAACTCCCAGAAATCCCAGCCAGTTTACCAGCTGTTAGGATTTCTAGGAGTTGAAGGCCAAAACACCTGGAGATCCACAGGTTGAGAACCACTGCATAGGAGAATGAGGCGCAGAATGACTATCCTCCCTTCATCAGTTGGCAGCTACTGCCTCTAAGTTCAGACTCAGACCTAGAAGAAGGTTGTCTCAACAAATGAGAGGAAAAAGAAGAGGATTCAAACGGACATGTCCATACATTAATTTGTACACCTGTATCTAAATTTATAAATGGTTAATTACAGTAGTCTTGCTTATTTAGCATAAATGGGCCAGCAGAATGTTGGATAAGCGAAAATGTTGGATAATAAGGAAGGATTAAGAAAAAGCCTATTAAATGTCAAATTATGTTATGATTTACAAATTAAGCACCAAAACATCAGGTTTTCAACAAACCAACAGAAAAAGCAGTTCAGTACACAGCAGCGTTACGTAGTAATTACTGTATTTACGAATTTAGCAACAAAACAGACAAGGGTTCTTTCTCCCATCCTGGACATTATGAGGGGGGAGGCAGAATATGTTGATTACAGTGAGACTCTACTGTACCTTCAATTTGACTTGTGTTAACCTCAATACTTGCTACTATTCAAACAAAAACAGGAACCAGCATGGTTTGGTAGTCTGACTTTTGAACTAGAGAGCAAATATGGCGTCCTCTGTCTGTCACAGAAACTCACCCAGTAACCTTGGCAAGACACACTATGAAAGGAAATGATGAGCTACTTGTAAATAAATCTTGGCAAGAAAACCTTAGGATACTGTTAACCGTAACTTTTAATCCATGTTGAAGGTACTTAGCAAAAATGGAGGGCAATCTCAGGTGTTCCCTTCATGTCTTATACATACACAGCATGGCAGACCCACAGCTCATGTTGTGGACACTGACAGTGTTGAAAGCCTAGTCTCACTCCTCCTCACTAAGGAGAATCTGGAGCAAGCCTCTTCTGCCCCTCCCCTGGTCCTTATATAAGCAAAATCCATCCATCCTGCTTTCCTATCTGTTCCCAATGCCAATGGCACTTTATTTCCCCGACTCTTGGATCCACAATCATTAACCACTACAGAAGAACCAACCCCAGCATTTCTCAGATTTGGTGCCTTAACGTGCAAGTGTTTACAACAGACTTCAAAGACCTTGAAAGGTAAAAGCCCCTAGTTGCATTTGTGGTATTTCAAAATGCTTATGTTGGGAGCTAAGCACAGACACTATGAAGTCAGAGGATCTTATCGCAAGCCTTGTCAGGAAGTGATTAGGTATCTTTCCTTTATTTGGGGTTTAATTACACAACTACTGAAGGTTTTTTTTTATATAGCTGATTGTAATGCAATATAAACAGCAATTGATAAATACCTCATTTGAATTTTGTTTTAACTACTGGTTGCTTTTGCTTGTTTATGCAGTGTATCAATAAATTAAAAACAGGTAACAGAAGATGTAAGTACTTGGTGCACATTCTACAATTCAAGCTAGAAGTATCAGTATGCTGTAATGGTCACACAGCACCAGGCTAGGAGCAGAAAGAACTTGATTCAAAGCACCACTAAGCTCATCAGTCTCAATTTAATCTCTCACAAGGCTATTGTAAGGAAATAGCATAGGAATAAGCTTGGACGCAGACCAGCAAACACAGTTTCTATGTAAGAGCTCCCTTTCCCAAGCTTGCAACCTCCACATGCTCCTCCCACACACTCTGCCGCTGTTCCGGGCATCCTTACTCAATCCTCTCCGCCACACCAGCTTTGTACCAATTAATGTTATCTGTCTTGCTTTCTTGCCAATTTTGCTTGCAACAGCCTGCTCTTT